GTCACGAGGGATATTCCTTAGACGATGATGGTGTCACGTGTCTTGATGTTGACGAGTGCGACAACCCCAGCACATGTAGCCAGCGGTGTGTCAATAACAAAGGATCATTCTGGTGTAAATGTTTTGAAGGCTACAAACTAGAGATTGATTTGAAACGATGCAAAGCTAACGGTAAGACAAGTGGCATTTTGTGGCGTAATTTTTCCGCAAATCATCACCTAGTCGAGAACATTTTCTTGCGCTTTTGAGTTCGCGACACGCACTTGGTTTGAATCGTCCAGGTCTAGACAGAACTGATTACGTGAATCAATTATATTCCTGTAATTTGCTTTCTAGTTTTTTCCCTTGCAAAAAAAAAAAAAAATGCTCCTTTGAATATTATAAGGCCTGAAAGACTCGTAGTTGCTAGTACTCATATCCGGCTACTGTGGCTGCAACCGGCTAACAGTATGGGTCCATTCTCGAGTGGATGCTTGTTCATAGATGATAATCTCCTCTCCCTTCTTATTCAGATTAAAAGAAACTATAACAAACGGGTGATGAGATTTTAAAGTAAAAAAGCAAACTGTTTGAAGAACGGGAAAATTCGAGTGAACATATCGCGGTCGGTATTAGTTTCAAATATGATTGGTTGAGAAAGTGGCAAGAGTTATCTGAACCAATCGTAGAGCGACAGTTTGCCATTAGCCATTTGTACTCCGGGTCTGCATGGCGTGCTGAGAGAGTAAAATGTCTTGCCCAATAGCCTAACGTAGTGACTCTGCTAGAGCTAGAACCCAGGCCCTGGTGATTTCTTAGTCCGTCGTAGCTCGGCCTTTGAATAAGAGTGAAGCTTGGGTGACTCTCCTTTGACACATAGCTTTCTACATTCCGAATGTCCCTCCTAGCCTCGCTATTATTTTAAGTCTTGATAACATTTCACATAATTTTGACTTGGTCTGTCCGCTCTCCATAGATAACATCACACCATACCTTTATTTCTCAACCCGGCGTCAGGTGATGAAGGTCGACGTTCGCCATGGATCCAACCACCTCACAGTGCTAGATGGTCTGTCGAGCGCAATTGGTATAGACTTTGACTGGTCTGAACAGCGTTTGTACTTTTCAGATGTCACTAAAGATAAAATCATACGATGCTATCTGAATGGCAGTGAATGTGAAGATGTGATCACAACAGGACTGTCGATGACGGAAGGTGAATAATTACCAAGTTAATACCTTTAGCAGAACTAATATTTTGCAACGATTATGTTGCTGGTAACATTACCCAACAATTTGTGCTGAGATAAATCTCATTGTACCTGCATATGAAAATCAAGCAAATAAATTTTCCTCGCAGGTAGAAGTTTTTCTACAAGAAAGAAGAATCCTCTAAAAATCTGCCTCGCTCCTAGCGTGTTGCTTCGTAGCGTGTTGCTTTGTGCCCAGTTGCCGTTAGTACTGCAGGTTTTCTGCAATTACTAAGATTGCAGTCCTACTGAGAGGATCATTTCCTTTGCTTGGTAACATTTTTCTTTGGGAAAAAAGATTCTCCCATAAGCACTTAGCATTACCATGTCAACTGACATGTGCCATGTACCTCGCGAGTTGTTCGAATGTTTAAGTTCAGCGCGAAAAATTGTGTGTTGTTCAGGTGGGCAGAATTTGGCTTTTTCTCGATATTTCTGGAATCTACGGAAACGGAAGTGATATATAATCGGTGACAGAAGGCATTGGTACGCCTACCCTCAGTAAGTGGTCGACAACCCTCCATTTGACATAATAAACAGTTATCTTATCGTTGATTTCTAATATGTTTCTTTAAAGTCCCCGTCTCCTCCCCCATCCTGGTGGTAACCATTTTGTCAACACCACCAACGACAAAAGTTATGGAAAAAAATTCCAAAAGTAGTCGAGCGTGCCAAGACTTCTATCACACATTGTAGTACAAAACCAAAGGGGAATTTCCTTTGCAATATTGCCTTTTATGGAGATATAGAATCTTGGCTTGATCCTTATTGGTGTACTTCATGGTTGATGTGATCTTGATCTTCTTGTTTCAGGGCTTGCGGTGGACTGGATTGGACGCCATTTGTACTGGACTGACATGCACACCCATCAAATCGAAGTCTCTGATTTGGAAGGCGAATGGCGTATGGCGTTGATTTCTGATGACCTCAAATCCCCTCGTGGAATTGCAGTTGATCCGAGAGACGGGTAGGCAACTCCAATTTGTATTCGAGATGTCTGACCAATTAGTTCGCAGTTTATTTTGATATTTTACACCAAATTTCTCCGTCTTGTTTGAGGATACAGCTAAATCTAAAGCACTGGCGATAAGCAATATATGCTACTTAAGATGCCTCTTAGTTTATGCCGTACTCAAACTAATTTTTATTTTCTTCTTTACATTCAGGCTTCTTTTCTGGTCTGACTGGGGTGCTACGAAGTCCAGGATCGAGAGGGCCAACATGGATGGCAGTTCTCGACAAGTACTCATTAATACATCCATTGAGTGGCCAAATGGCATCACACTAGACGTTGCCAACAGGTTTGTTCGACGGCCCTCTCGTTAAAATCTCTTTCACTTTACTGGATGCATGGGGCGTTTCTTTTCTTGGCAGTATGATGGAAATTTGTCACCGTTAGCTATGGCCTCGTTTTGCAACGAGTTCGCTGTTAGTTCAGTGTTAGGCCATTGGGGAAACAATAGGAAATAAAACTGGTGTCACACAAGTTTGCGGAATGGGGGGGGGGGGGGGGGGGGGGGGGGGGGG